TGACTATGCGATTTACTACGACGTACACGATGAAACCATCGTCGTCTTGAGAGTGTTGCACACAGCCCGCGATCTCGGTCAGTTCGAAGACTTGCACCGCAGCTAGCAGCGTCGCTCATTCCTCTCGCTCTAGCGTAACGCCCGCGCGTGCGTCTAAGGTCCACGGCTCCCCCTGCATTGAGACGACGCGACTCGCAGGCGTTTCCGCCCGCAGTCGGTTTTGGCGGGAACGCTCATACATAAATCGGATGCTTCGCGATGAAGAACTACGACGACCTCGGCAAGCTGATCCTCCGTGTCACGGTGGGCGGGCTGATGCTCTTTCACGGCGTCGCCAAACTGCAAACGGGCGTCGGCGACATCTCTGGCATGCTGGCCGCGAAGGGGTTGCCGACCTTCTTGGCTTATGGCGTGTACGTCGGCGAGATCGTCGCGCCCGTGCTGCTGATCCTCGGACTGTTCACTCGCGCCGCGGCGGCGGTGTTCGTCTTCAACATGATTGTCGCAGTCGCTTTGGCGCACGCCGGCGACCTCTTCAAGATCGGCCCGCACGGCGGCTGGGCGTTGGAGCTACAAGCGTTCTATCTCTTCACGGCGTTGGTAGTGACCCTCGTTGGCCCCGGGGCGTGGTCGCTCGATGCAAAGCGTCAGAAGAAGGCTTGGTGGCAATTCTGGTCGAAGTAACTAGCAGCGATAGCATTCGCATCTCGGTCTAGCGTCCCCTCTTCTCGGTCTAGCGTCATAGCGGCGGGTGCTGGTACGGTCCGCGGCTCGCCCCCCACCGCGTCGGCACGACGCGACTCGCGGGGCGTTACAGCCCCCTGCCGACCGCCCACCGCCCACTCCCTCATGTACAAGCTCGTCCTCTGCCTCCGCTACCTGCGGACGCGCTGGATCGCCCTGGCTTCGATCATCAGCGTCACGCTCGGCGTGGCCACCATGATCGTCGTTAACAGCGTCATGGCGGGCTTCACGCACGAGATGCGCGACCGCATCCACGGCATCCTCAGTGACGTGGTATTCGAGGCCCGCAGCCTCGACGGCGCTCCAGACGCCGAGAAGCATATGGAGCTGATCCGCGCGCAGGCCGGCGACCTCATCGACGGCATGAGCCCCACGGCTCAGGTCCCTGCGATGCTCGGCTTCACTGTCAGCGGGCAACGCGTCAACCGCCAGGTAATGCTCATCGGCATCGACCCTGAGAGCTACGGCAAGATCAGCGACTTCGGGCGCTACCTCCAGCACCCGGCCAACCGCGGCCAGCTAAACTTTGACCTCCGCGAAGGGGGTTACGACACCGCCGACCCCCAAGCCGAAGACCCCGCGAAAGCCGCGCCGCGGCCGATGATGGAAACGGCGGGCTGGGAGCACCGGCGACGCAAGGCGTTTTGGACGCAGCGTGAAGCGGAGCTCGCCGCACGAGTTGCGAAGTCGGAAGTGGGAAGTGATCAGAAGTTGGAAGTGGGAAGTGGGAAGTCGGAAGCTACCGAGGCAACCGCGACATCAACGGAATCCGCAATCCCCAATCCCCAATCCGCCGTTTCCGCAGACCCCTTTGCTCAAGCCGAGGCAACAAGCGGCGACGCCGGCAAGACCTTCGACCCCTCGACCGAACAACACCCGGGCCTCGTTCTCGGCATGGCGCTCGGAAGCTTCCGCGACGCCACCGGCGAGGATCGCTTCTTGGTGCTGCCAGGCGATGACGTTGAAGTTACCTACCCGATGTCTACGACGCCCCCGAAGCCGGGGAATGCGTTCTTCACCGTCGTCGATTTCTACGAATCGAAGATGAGCGAGTACGACTCATCGTTCGTGTTCGTCCCGCTCGAAGTGCTGCAAGACAAGCGTGGCATGATCGACCCATCGACGGGCGTCGCCAACTTCAACTCGATCCAGATCCGCTGCAAACCGGGCGTCGATCCGAACGTGGTCCGCGACCGCTTGCAAGAAGTCTTCGATCCACGGGCGTATGTTGTGAGCACCTGGATGGACAAGCAGGGCGCGTTGCTCGCTGCTGTGCAGATGGAGACCGCCGTGCTTAATGTGCTGCTGTTTATGATCATTGCCGTGGCGGGCTTCGGCATCCTGGCGATCTTCTACATGATTGTCGTCGAGAAGACCCGCGACATCGGCATTCTCAAGAGCCTCGGCGCCAGCGCCAGCGGCGTCATGGGAATCTTCCTCGGCTACGGCCTGACGCTTGGCATCGTTGGCGCCGGCGCAGGGATGATCGGCGGCCTTGTCTTCGTAGCCTACATCAATGAGATCGCCGACGTCCTCGCCTGGGTTACCGGCACGCCCGTGTTCGACCCAGCCGTCTACTACTTCGCCAAGATTCCCACGATCGTCCACCCGCAAACCGTGGCCTGGATCGTCGCCGGCGCGATGGCGATCGCGGTGCTCGCCAGCGTGCTGCCCGCGCGACGTGCCGCGGCGCTGCATCCGGTTGAGGCGTTGCGGTGGGAATGATGTGAAAGGGGAAAGTTGAAAGGGGAATGCGGAAAGAACTAAGCCGTAACGAATCGAGATAAAGCTGTGATTGATCATTCCGCATTCCGCATTCCGCATTCCCCTTTAGCGCCCGTGGTCCTCTCCGCGCGCGGCGTCACCAAGACTTACCGCAAGGGCGCCGTTGCGGTGCCCGTGTTGCGGGGGGCGGACATCGACGTTTGCGAGGGCGAGATGCTCGCCATTGTTGGGCAGTCGGGGAGTGGGAAGAGCACGCTGCTGCATGTGCTCGGGACGCTGGATCGGCCCGACGCGGGCGAGGTGGTTTATCAAGGCGAGCGGATCGACGCGCTCAGCCGCAAACGGCGAGATGCGTTCCGCAACACCGAGCTGGGGATGATTTTTCAGTCGTATCACCTTCTGCCAGAACTCTCAGCGCTAGAGAACGTGCTAGCGCCAGCGCTGATCCGATACGACATGTTTGATTACTTCGCCAAGCGGCGCCAACTGCGCGAGCGCGCCGCGGCGCTGCTTGAGCGCGTTGGTCTCGGTCATCGCCTCACCCACAAGCCGCGCGAGCTGTCGGGTGGCGAGATGCAGCGAACGGCCATCGCCCGGGCGTTGATGAACGAGCCCAGCTTACTGCTGGCGGACGAGCCTACCGGCAACCTCGATCCCACCAGCGGCGAGGGGGTCCTCGAACTTCTCCGTGGCCTGAACCAAACCGACGGCTTGACGGTCGTTATGGTCACCCACGACCGCAGCATCGCCGCCCTGGCGGACCGGACCGTCACCCTGGTGGAAGGCCGCGTCGCCGACGAAGAGGCGGGCCTACGCGTCCAGGGCTAAGCCAGCGTCTCGATAGACGGCGAGCCGGAACCCGCTCGCGCCTGGGGTTGCGCCAGATACTCGATTTGGCGAGCGTTTCCCCGCTTCCGCTCCGGGCGTTGACTCGTTCCGGCTCACTTTCTATCGCTTTGGGATCGCTNNCCCCGCTGTGCCCGCCCTAACCGGCTGGTTAGAATGCCGGGCTTCCCTCAAGCCTCCCGACCCAAGCCTCACCCCCTCTTCACATGTCCCGCATCGTTTGGATCAACGGCGAACTGGTTCCCGCTGAGCAGGCGACCGTCAGCGTCTTCGACCATGGCCTGCTGTATGGCGACGGCGTCTTCGAGGGGATGCGGATTTACAGCAACAAAGTGTTCCGGCTTAAGGAACACCTCGAACGACTCTACGAATCGGCCAAGGCGATCTGCCTGAACATTCCGATGCCGTTCGAGGCGCTCGTGGACGCCACGAACCTGACCGTTAAAGAGAACGGTCTCGAGGACGGATACATCCGCCTCTTGGTCACGCGTGGTAGCGGCACGCTGGGTCTCGACCCCAATCGTTGCGGCAACCCTCAGGTGATCATCATCGTCGATAAGATCATGCTCTACCCGACCGAGCTCTACGAGAACGGTCTGGAGATCATCACGTCGAGCGTGATTCGCAATCACCCGGCCGCGCTGAGCCCCCGGATCAAGTCGCTCAACTATCTCAACAATATCCTCGCCAAACTCGAAGGCCTCCAGGCGGGCTGCGTCGAGGCGCTGATGCTCAACCATAAGGGCGAGGTCGCGGAGTGTACCGGCGACAACATCTTCGTGGTGAAGAAGAGCGAGCTGTACACGCCACCGCTCGACGCCGGCATCCTGGCGGGCATCACCCGCGAAGTCGTCCTAGAGATCGCCGACGAAGACGGCATCCCCACCTGGGAAGCCTCGCTCACCAAGCACGACGTCTACGTCGCCGACGAGGTCTTCCTCACCGGTAGCGCCGCCGAAGTGATCCCCGTCGTGAAGGTCGACAGCCGCAAGATCGGCGACGGCCGACCAGGTCCCATCACGAAGCGGCTGAACGAACTCTTCAAGGCCGCGGTGCGCAAATGAGGCCCTGCGCAAAAGAATGAGTGCGGCTGGCTATGCTAGGGAGACTTCGATGACTCTCCAGCCCGCGAGCCTTGGATGTTCCGCCACTACGCCGCTGCCTCTCTTGCCGCTTGTTTCGTAGCGACCACCGTACAGGCCGAACCCGCACGGCCGCGGCTGCGTGACTTGGGCGTCGAGGTCGGCGTCTTCGCGCCGGGCCCGCTCAACGCCATCACCGATGTCGCGGGCGTACGGGTCGGACACTACACGCTCATCGCAGGTGACCGGCTTCGCACGGGCGCCACGGCGATCGTGCCGCACGAAGGCGATCTGTTTCAACAGAAGGTCCCGGCGGCGGTGGTTGTCGGCAATGGCTTCGGCAAGCTCGTTGGCTCGACGCAGGTCAACGAACTGGGCCAGCTCGAAACGCCGATCCTGCTGACCAACACGCTCAACGTCTGGGAAGCCGCCGCGACGCTCGCCGAGGAAGCGCTCGCGGCGCCGGGCAATGAAGCGGTGCGTTCGGTGAACCCCGTCGTCGGTGAGACGAACGACGGTTACCTCAACGACATCCGCAGCCGGGCGTTGAAGCCTGAACACTTCCGCGCCGCATTGTCAGGCGCCGAGTCTGGGCCTGTCGAAGAGGGCTCGGTCGGCGCCGGGACCGGCACCCGTACGATGGGCTACAAGGGTGGCATAGGCACGTCCTCACGCAAGTTGCCCCCTTCATTGGGAGGAGGCTACACGGTCGGCGTGCTCACGCAGACGAACTTCAGCGGCCTGCTGACGGTCGCCGGGGCGCCGGTGTGGCGTGACTTTGGACCCAAGCCGTACCCGGAGCACGACCTGTCGTCGAAGGACGGCTCGTGCATGATCGTCGTCGCTACCGACGCGCCGATCGACGCCCGCCAGCTCAAGCGGCTCGCACTCCGCGCGCTCGTCGGCATGGGCCGCACCGGCGCCGACTTCTCGAACGGCAGCGGCGACTACGTGATTGCGTTCTCGACGAGTGAACTCGTGCGAATCCAAGCTGATCAATCGGAACAAACCATTCCGCGGCTGAGCGAAGCGAGCTTGACGCCGCTGTTCGACGCCGTCGCCGAGGCGACCGAAGAGGCGATCCTCAACGCGATCCTCCGCGCAACGACGGTGCAGGGTCGCGACGGGAACGTCAGCGAAGCGATCCCGATAGAGCGGCTCAAGGATTCGCTGCGACGCTACGGCGCCATCTCGAGCGACGACGAGTAGCCAATCTCCGAATCTAGCCTTCTCCATTCTGCCGTTGAGTCTCGCGCAGAGACGCGGAGGATAGGCAATTAAGACTCACGCAAAGCCGCCAAGGCGCACAGAAAAAGTCTTTTCGGAATAGGCTCGGCTGCAATCGATCGCGCAGGAGCGCGTCCTTTGCGGCTTAGCGCCTTTGCGTGAGACTTAAGAACATCCAACTCTGCGCCTCCGCGTCTCTGCGCGAGACTTCTCCACTTTGCTCCATAAGTCAGCGCGACGCTAGAAACGCAACGACTAAGCGAAGCCCATTCTAGCTTGAGCGCGTAAAGCTCCAGCCGTGGATCAGTAGCGTCTGTAAGATCGGCGTCGGCGATTCAAAGCCTGCGGAGCAAACGAGCTCCACGACTTCCGCCGGCGGCAGCAGCGGCACCTTCTTCTCAAATTCGGTGAGCATCTGGTCGACCTGTTCGACCGGCGTGTCGCACAGCAGCCACATGCGGCGCCAGACCGCCATCAGCCGCGCGTGCCCGGGCGTCCCGACGCCCGACGACAGGTCGGCGTTCACGAGCGTCGCGCCCGGTTGGAGCCGTCGCGCGACCTCCGCGAAGAACTCGCTTCGGTCGGGCCGCTCGAGGAAGTGCGATACGAGCAAACACGTCGCCGCGTCGTAGGGCTCGCCCTCGGGTAGCGATTCGAGAAAACCCTCGTGGAACTCGCAGCGATCGGCGAAGCCTTCGCGGTCGGCGCGCTGACGGCACAGCGTGAGCATCGCCGGCGCCGGCTCGACGGCCGTGAACCGCCAGTGTGGGAACGCCGCCGCCAGGTAAGCGATCTCCAAGCCCGTCCCCGCGCCGACGCAGAGCACCCGCGCATCTTCCTTCAGCTCGCCCAGAGCGAGACGCGTCACGAGGTGCATCGCGTCGCGCATCGCCGAGGCCTTCGCGAAGCGGTCGTCGTAAGACGCCGCCTGCTTCTCACCGAACGCGGCGAGCGTCTTATCGCGGTCCGAGGGCATTCGTGAACTCACTCCACGGGGGTTAGGCGGAAGACGATGGGGTGGTCCGCGGCGAGGCCCGCAATGGCGGGCGTGATCTCGACGCCGCTGTCGGTCGTCGCCCACACCACCTCGCCGTGGCCGAGCTGCTCGACCTTGGCGATCTCCCCTTTGAAGTGCCCGGCGTTCTTGGTCAGCGACTGGAGCGTCACCCTGCCCTCCGGCCGCGCCATCACGAACGCGTAGACGACGCCGTCGCGCTGCGTGTAGCGGATGTCGTCGGCGGTGAAGGGCTTGCCCTTCCCTTCATTGAATCCCTGTGCGGTGAGCGGCGGGGCGTCCTCGAGCTGCGGGCCCTCGCCGCAGACCTTCCACGGGCGCGTGGCTATGATCGCCTCACGATTGGTCGCCATCCAGCCGGCGATCTCTTCGACGATCGCGCGTTCGCGTTCATCGATCGTGCCGTCGCCGCGCACGGGCACATTGAGCAGCAGTGAGCCGTTCTTGCTCACCACGTCGATGAGCGTCCGCACCACCGTCGCCGCCGACTTGTAGCCTTTGCGATCGTAGACGCCGCGGTCGTAGTGCCAGCCGCCGATGCAGGTGTCCGTTTGCCACGGCTCGGGCTCGATGCGGCTGCTCTGCCCGCGCTCGATGTCCCAAACCATGCAGCGCCGCTGCTGCGCGTCGAGGATCTTGCCGAACAGCACCGCGTCGGTCTTGGCGCCGTCTCCGGTCGCCCGGCGGTTGTAATGATGGGCGGCGATTTTGAGGCCCGTGTCACTCACCGGCCATAGCGGCAGCGCCGTGTCGTCGAAGTAGACGAGGTCGGGGTCGGCTTGGTTGATGAGGTCGATCGTGCGGTCGTAGAACGCTTGGCAATACGCCTGGTCCGGCGGCGTGATCCCGTTGCTCCAGTTCCAACGCCCGTGGATCGAACCGGCGTTCATGAAGTCCTTGGCGGGCTGGTGGCGCTGGGCGTAGAGCAGCTGCGGGTCGAGTCCTTCCCACCACTTCCCCTTGCCGTCGGCCTTCGTCAGTCGGCCGTCGTACGGCACGCCCGCGCGGTCGCCTTCACGGTCCGCCCCCTGCGCGGGCTCGTACCACGACCAGGCATGCGCCGCGTGAACGCTCACGCCGAACCGCAGCCCCTCGGCCCGCGCGGCCTCGGCCCACCCGCCGACCAAATCCTTCTTCGGTCCGACACGGACGCTGTTCCACTCGTGATGCTTACTGTCCCAGAGGTCGAGGTTGTCGTGATGGTTGGCCATCGCGAAGAAGTACTCCGCGCCGGCCCGTTTGTAGAGACGCACCAGGTCGCTCGGGTCCCACCGCTCGGCTTGCCAGGCGTGGATCACGTCTTTGAAGCCGTGCTCGCTCGGATGGCCGTACTGACGCAGGTGGTCGTCGTATTGCCAGTGGCCCGGGATATACATGTGCCGTGCGTACCAGTCCCCGCGCTCGGGCTCGCACTGCGGGCCCCAGTGGGCCCAGATGCCGAACTTGGCGTCCCTAAACCACTCGGGAACCTCGTACGCCTCGAGCGATTGCCAAGACGGCGCGAACGGCCCGCGCGCCATCGGCTCCGCCTCGGTCGAAACGATGACCGTCGGCTCGAGTGTGCTGGGGATCGAATCGGCTGCGCCGGCGTTAAGCGATAACGCCGCCAGGGCGCCGATAGCGAAGAGATTGCGTTTCATCACCAGACCTCTGTAGGAGGCTCTTTCTTCTCTTGTCTCTTGCTTTCTTGTGGGAGGCGTCTCCAGACGCNNTTACGCGCACCATGCCGTATACGGCAGGAACCCGTAATCGGCGTCTGGAGACGCCTCCCACAGAGGGCGCTTCGCTCTCAGAGTCGGGCGATTCGTCTCTTTACCAGCAATCAGCCGTCGATACGCACCTCGCGGCCCGTGTCGTCTTCGCAAGCGAAGTGGACGTGCTCGGGCGAGACGCCCTCCTTGCCGAGGATCACGACTTGGCAAGCGCCATCGTCCTCGAGCTTCGCCAGCTCACGACGCTTGCGGTTGTTGAGGTACGTAGCGACCGCCTCTTCGACGGTCACCGTCACCCTGGCGACGCGTTCGTTATGGGCGATCCGCATCATCCGCCGCAGTACATCGATCGCCATCGACTCGGCCGACTTCACGAGGCCCGTCCCCGCGCAAGCCGGGCACTCGCGGTAGACGCTGCGCTTGAGGCTTGGCCGGATGCGCTGCCGCGTCATCTCGATGAGGCCGAAGGGGCTGGTGCGTAGCACCTTGGTGCGGGCCCGGTCGCGCTTCATCGCGTCCTTGAGCGTCCGCTCGACGGTGCGGCGGTAGCGCTCGCGGCGCATGTCGATGAAGTCGTTGACGATCACGCCACCCAAGTCGCGCAGTCGTAGTTGCCGGGCGATCTCCTTGGCGGCGATCTGGTTGAGCGCGAAGGCCGACTCCTCGGCGCCGCCGCCGGAGCGGAAGCTGCCACTGTTGACGTCGATGGCGACGAGGGCCTCGGTCTGATCGATCACGAGCGAGCCGCCGCCCTTGAGCGGGACATGCCGATCGTTGATCCGCGAGATCTCCTCGTCGATCTTGTGCTTGGAGAAGAGCGGCTCATTGCCCATGTAGTACTGCAAACGGTCGACGTAGCGCGGCATCACGACCTTGAGGAAGTCTCGCGCGCGCTCGAACGCCTCGGGCTCGTCGATGTGAATCGCGTCGATGTCGCCGGAGAAAATGTCGCGGATCGTGCGGATGACGATGTCGGACTCTTTGTAGATGTCGCCGGGGCCTTCCTGCGTATTGATCCGCTTGACGATCATCTTCCACAGGCGGAGCAAGTACGCGAGGTCGCGCGACAGGTCGCGCTTCGTGCGGTCGGTGCCGGCCGTGCGGACAATAAAGCCCAGGCCCTTGGGCGGGTTCAGCTCGCGGAGGATCGCGCGGAGCCGCTTGCGGGCGTCCTCGTCCTCGATCTTGCGCGACACGCCGATGCGTCCCAGCGCCGGCATCAACACGAGGTAACGACCGGGGATGCTGATGTAGGTCGAGAGCGTCGGGCCCTTGGTGCCAATGCCTTCCTTGATGACCTGGACGATCACCTCATCGCCGCGGCGGAAAATCTCTTCGATCGGCGGCTTCACGCGCGGCCGCGCGCCGGTGGGGCGGCGGCGCTGCGAGCGGGCCTTCGTCTTCGTGGTGGCGCCCCCTTCGCCTTCGTCCTCGGCCGATTCCTCGTCGTTGGCCTCGTCGTCCCCGTCGGCGTCTTCGTCCGACTCGAACTCCGCGCCGTAAGCGTCGCCGCGCGCGCCGGGCTGTGAGCCGTCACGCTCGATCGGCATGTCCGGGTCGTAGCCGCCCTGGCGGAAGTACTGGGCCTCGACGTCGCTGATGTGCAGGAAGCCGTTGCGGCCGACGCCGAAATCGACGAACGCCGCCTGGATGCTCGGCTCGAGGTTGACGATCCGGCCCTTGTAGATGTTGCCGACGTAATTGTCTTGGCTGGCGCGCTCGGTGTAGAGCTCTTCGAGCACGCCATGCTCAACGACCGCAATCCGGCACTCTTCCGGTTGCGAGACGTTGATCAGCATCTCTGTCTTCATAGGTTGTCTTGGGGTTGTGTGGTGTGTGGCCGCGATGATCGCGGCGTGTGTGGTGTTCCCCGTGAGCCGTCGGCGCTAGCCGCGGGTGGCGGCGGTGACGAGCAACTCGTGGAGAATGGGTTGGTGTGTTGTTTGGTGGCGCTAGCGCCGACGGCTCATTGTTACTGGCAATCAAACAGGTTGGTCTGGCAAGAGCTTCGACAGCTCTTCCCGGAGGTAAGTCTTGATGTCGCGGGCGCTCTCCAAGGAGAGGACGCGCGCGGCGACATTCTTGCAATGATCGATCGTGGTGCTGCGGACGACTCGTTTTACTTCCGGCGCCGCCGAGGGCGTCACGCTGAGGGAACGCAGGCCAAGCCCCAGCAGCAGCATGGTGTAGAGCGGCGCGCCGCTCATCTGGCCGCAGAGGCTGATCGGTTTGCCGCCGGCGCCCGCGGCGTCGAC